AACAAAAAAACACCCCAATTACAAAACGATTTTAGAAACAAATTTTTTCTTGATCAAACAGGCCTATATAATTTAAATAAATTGAATTATACCGCTGATATAGATATATATAGAATATTTTTATTTTATTTAAATATTTAAATTATAATATATTTATAATTATATTATAATATGATTTCATAGAATCATAGAATTGATTCTATGAAATCATATTATAATATAAATATTATAATATTTATAATATAAATATTATAATATATTATAATATTTAAATTATAATATATTTATAATTATAATATATTATAATATGATTTCATAGAATCATAGAATTGATTCTATGAAATCATATTGTAATTAATATAAATATTATAATATTTATAATATAAATATTATAATATATTATAATATTTAAATTATAATATATTTATAATTATAATATATTATAATATGATTTCATAGAGTCATAGAATTGATTCTATGAAATCATATTATAATTAATATAAATATTATAATATATTATAATATTTATAATATAAATATAAATATTATAATATATTATAATATTTAAATGATAATATATTTATAATTATAATATATTACAATATGATTTCATAGAATCAATTCTATGATTCTATGAAATCATATTATAATATATTATAAATATAAATATATTATAATTTAAATATTTAAATAAAATAAAAATATTCTATATCTATATATCTATATTAGCGGTTCTCAACCTGGGGGTCGCGACCCCCAGGGGGGTTGTCTGGCCATTTCAGAGGGGTCGCGAGGCCTCCTCCATTGGGCGCAGGCCAGGTGAGGGCTCCTTCATGTGAGGCCTGGCCTCATGCAAAGCCCGCCTCACTTGCCTCGCTCTCTCACCATCCGACAAGGGCATGGGGTAGGCGAGGGGTCCTCCGTACGCGGGCTGGCCTCATGCAAAGCCCACCTCACTTGCCTCGCTCTCTCACCATCCGACGAGGGCACGGGGCATGCGAGGGGTCCTCCGCATGAGGCCTGGCCTCACGCAAAGCCTGCCTCGCTTGCCTCGCTCTCTCGCTATCCGACGAGGGCACGGGGCATGTGAGCGGTCCTCCGCATGAGGCCTGGCCTCACGCAAAGCCCGCCTCGCTTGCCTCGCTCTCTCGCCATCCGACAAGGGCACGGGGCAGGCGAGGGTTCCTCCGCACGAGGCCTGGCCTCACGCAAAGCTCATCTCGCTTTCCTCACTCTCTTGCCATCTGACGAGGGCACGAGTCATATGGACATTTTGGAGGGGTCGCAAGGCCGCGTCCGTTGGCCCCACCCCAAGGGCGCAGGCCAAGTGAGGGCTCCATGTGAGGCCTGGCCTCATGCAAAGCCCACCTCGCTTGCCTCGCTCTCTCGCCATCCGATGAGGGCATGGGGCAGGCGAGGGGTCCTCCACATGAGGCCTGGCCTCACACAAAGCCCACCTCACCTGCCTTGCATTCTCGCCATCTGGGAGTTCTGTGTGGAGGTCTCAGTGGTCTGTGGAAGTCAGCACTGAATCGGTTGAAAGTACTGCAAATCCATATTTTTTTCTGATTGATCATGATGTTTTAATTATGTTGAATTTGTAACCATTAAAACACATTCTTCATATCAGATATTTACATTACAAATTGTAACAGTAGCAAAATTACAGTTATAAAGGAGCAACGAAATTAATTTTATGGTTGGGGGTCACCACAAAATGAGGAAGCTTATTTAGGGGTCCCAGTGTTAGAAAGGTTGAGAACCACTGATCTATATAAATAAAAATGTAATGTTTGTTTGTGGGATTAACATAACTCAAAAACCAGTGGACAAAATGACATGAAAAATGGACACTACAAGGAAAGAATCACCTGAAGATTCCGGCAAACATAGCAACAAAACAAAGGCGAATAAGGAACCAGTAGATAAAAATCAAGGAAATGGCGGTGAAGATAATAGCTAACAATGTAAATGGGTTTAATGCCCCAATTAAAAGGAAATTGATATATAATCAAGTTAAGAGAGGAAATAATAAGGAAATAATAGCAATAAAAGAAATGTTTATCACACAGAAACATTCAGCGCATTTAGAAAATAAACAACTAGGTAAATTATTCCATTCATCTGCCTCCAAAAAAGAAAAAGAAAAAAAGAAGAGGGGTGGTAATATATAAAGTAGTGCAATTGTGTTTTGTTTGATTTGGCATTCCCCCTTTTGTGATATTCCAGATATCATCTGGCACCAGAGCAGAAGTATCCCTCCCAGTTTGAGGAGTGCCTGTCCACCGCCGTGCATTTCATGAGGACCGCCGAGACCTATGGTGTGGACCCGGCCCTTGTTGCCCTCGGTGGAGACAGCGTTGGGGGCAACCTTGCCGCTTCTGTTTGCCAGGCATTGGTGACTCGTTTTGACCTCCCGAAGCCCTTGGCGCAGGTGCTGATCTATCCCGGCTTGCAGGCCATCGACTTTGACTTACCGTCCTACCAGCAAAACCGGGCTGTCCCCATCTTGTACCGGGAGCACGTGGTCGCCGCCGCATTGAAGTATCTCAACAAAGACTTGTCAGTGACGGAGAGCGTCGTCCAAGGGCGCCATGTCCCTAGTGATATCCGGAGACGATTTGAGAAGTGGATCAACTCGGAGAACGTCCCCAGCGAATTCAAGGCCCGTGGCTACCGGCCTTCTTCCGCCTCCTCTTTCCTGGACAATGTCTATGAAGTGGTGAAGCAGGCGCTGGAGACTACTTTCTCCCCGCTCCTGGCTGACGAAGCAGTCATCGCACGGCTTCCCACCACCTGCATCATCACCTGCGAGTATGATGTCTTGCGGGACGACGGGCTCCTTTACAAGAAGCGTCTGGAGGACCACGGCGTGCCCGTCACGTGGTTCCACATCGAGAACGGCTTCCACGGGGTCATTAACCTCTTCGATGGGTTGCTGGCCTTCCCTTCTGGCAAAAAGGGACTGGACAGCATTGTGACCTTCCTCAAAAGCTTGTGAGGATGTTCAGAGTTTTTATTTAATTTTTGTTATTATTATATACACTGCTGAACCATTGCACATTGAACCCTTCTTTTTATTTATTTATTTATTTATTTACTAGCCGTACCCTGCCACGCGTTGCTGTGGCCTATAGTAAGAGTTTTGAAGCCTCTGCCTGGGCTCACTTCCTCCTTTCTTCTCTCTTCCTTCCTTCTCTTGCTCTCTTTCCCTCTTTACTTGGAGGGGGCGTGGGCGGAGGAAGAAGAAGTAGGTGGAGGAGGAATGGTTTTGACAGGGCAGGAAGGGGTGGGGCTTGGAGTGGGCGGGGCTTGGTGGAGGCATGGGCGGGGCTGGGTGTGTGTGTGTGAGGCAGGGGGAGTGAAGGAGCATTGGGTTGTGTGTGTGTGTGTGCAGCAGG